GGGGACGGGGTAGGCAGAAAAAAATAAAAAAAAGCCAAAGGCAACTTGTGAGCGAATGAAGATTATTACTTGGCCACATGGTTTGATTCAATTTACACTCTTGAGTTTTGGGTCATGCATTCCCCAATGACTGCTAGCAGCTTGCTGTGTTTAACTGGAACCTTTTCTGTGCATTACAATAAATGTTTGCTGGTACTGTTGAAACACAATCTGAGGAACACAAATTTCATCTGCACCCTTCCTTCCCCACCAGTCTCAGACCTTTCTCTGCCCCCCACATCTCATTTCTTGCCATAGAATCAGCCAGGGCAAAGGGATCATTTGGGAGGTCTGTACTCCAGCCTGCTCAAAACAGGATCAATGCTGAATTCAGACCACATTCTGAATGCAGACCCAAATGCTCAGGACTTTATCCATTAAGGTGTTGGAAATCCATAGGAACAGATTTTTCACAGCCCCTCTAGGCAACCTGCTTCAGTGGTTGACTGTCCCCATGATGTGACTCTTCACTCAATTCCTGCTCAGATTTTGGCTAACACACAGAACATGCTAAGGCCTGATGTATGCTGAGATCAGTAGCATTTGGTCAAAGTGAAGGCAATGTATAGGCAGGACACAGTGGCCAGAAAGGGCTAAAGGTCATTATGCTGCAGCTATTATAGCCTGCAGCTTGCTGTCTCCTGCAGCCATCATCCTTGTGTACTGCTTGTCTGGCAGCTTCTTCATAATCTGCTAACTCATGGAAACGGTGTAGACCAAGCTTCCAAGCTGGAAGGTATAAGTACATCGGCTTACCCAAAAAGTTTTTGAAGCGGATTCTACAGCAGCTGAGCTGCTGAGGCTTTCATGCTTCTCAGTGTGATATAGGAGACACCCACACTGTGGCGGAGGAGGAAGGATGAACACTGTCCCTGTCATCTAGTTAACTGCTTGCTCATGGGTGCATGAGATACAAGTAGCATGTCATGAATTAGAGAGCTTGTGAGTTAGAAACCTCATGACTTAATTGATGAACTAGTGAATTCACAGACTACTCTGTACAAAGGGGACTGAACCCTTCTTTGTCATGTTTTCTTTCCTAATGAGCTCATAAAATGAAGTTAATAATTTATGGAGTATGTTGAACTGTAAATTTGAAAGATCCAAATGGACCATGACACCATGGTAATAATTTTTTTCCTATGTTGTATGAACTTCCCGGTTTGATTTGTACCCATTGTCTCTTCGCACACCACCATGGTATGGTTCTGTTTTCCTGACAGCCTCCTGACTGGTATTGGAAGGCAGCTGTTGGGACCTCCCGAGCCTCCTCTCCAGGCCAGACAAACCCTCTTCCCTCAGCCCCTCCTCACAGGGCAGGTGTGTGCTCCAGCCTGACCACCCCCTGCATTACAAATGGACTCCCCCTCAAGTCTCTCACTGTCCTTCTTGTATTTGGGGTGTAGTGTGTCCAAACCTGGCTGTAGTATCCAAAATACACTCTGAAAGGTGTCAAGAAAAGGGAAATAACCCCTTCCCTTAATCTACTGGTGACACACCTGTTAATATAGAGCAGTATGCTGTTAGCCTTCCTCTCTGACAGGGCTCACTGCAGACTTGCATTTAGCTTGCTTTCCCCCAGGAACCCTTGGCCCTTTTCTACAAAGCTGCTGTCTTTGCCTAACCTCATTTCATTCCCAGGCTTTTCACAGCCAGTCCACTTCATTCCCTTGCATTTCGCCCCATCTCACAAGCAATCAAATCCTAGTTAGGGTCTCTCCAATTTCTGCAGTCCAGCTCCAAATCTGGTTTGTTTCCTCCATCACCCTTAAGCCTCATGTAACTTGAAACTCCATGAGATCCTTTCTACATCAAATATTTATTTAGTGTCTCTCTTCCCTGTGTTTGCATCAACTTCCTTCTCATTACTGCACAGACTGACCTTGAAAAACAACCTTAGGTGTTATTGATGGTGGCAATTCATGGGCTCAGCCAAGAGACAAAACTGCTAGGAACATTTTCCTCTCCCTTTTGAAAGTTTCATAGAGACAGAATATGCTTAACATGAGAAATCATAAAATATCCTTCAGAAGCATGCACCTTGTCAAAGTATGAACACAAGAAAGAAAGGAAGAAAACCTTGACTGAAACAAAGCAAAACCCACATTACACATATTTCTTCTTTCAGAGCATAGAATTTCCAGACCTTCCCAAAGAAAAAAGCCAAATCATTAACATAAAATCTAAAAAATGCATTTCCCCTACCATCATTTGTAGAAGAGTAGAACTTTGGGACTGAAGTTATCCAAGACAATTCAACCCAAGACATAAACCCAAGATACAGAAAATCTCAACTCCAGCAGTATAAATTTGGCAAAACTATGGGACAACTGAAATTAAGGTCTTACAATGGCAAATGCTAAGCAATTTGAGAAACAATCAGAGGCAGGACAGCTATGTGGTAAGTATACTCTGTATGTTGGTAGGGTGTGTGTCTGCACATTATATAACAGACATATTTTAAGATACAAATTACATGTTTCAATGCAGCAATATACCGGCCAATTGCACTTGCAATTGTTAAAAAGGAAAGAATTATACAAGCTCACACTTTCTGTGAAAATGTACTGGAAAGAAAATGTTCCAGTCCCTTATATTCGCCATAATGCTGCTTAACACCACTTGAAAAAGAAGCAGAGTAGTCGTGCAGTTTGTTGCATTTGCAGAAATGTATCTTAAATGCCAGATATCCTTGATAAGAAGGTAAAATATTGTATGAACCAATTAGATACTACTTACTAACCACCACATTTAAATAACATTTCTCAAATGCAGAAAGTTTCCGTAACTCCCACTGACTGAAGTATAAGCGTGATGCACTTTGCTACCTCCTGGATCACCAGTTAGCAGAACCTCAATATTGAGGTATTCTCCTTTTCTTCCTACTTTGGTCAGAAAATGCTGATCTGTTAAAACTCAATTTGTGCATAAGCAGATTAGTTTTGAGAAGACAAGTTTTCTCATGAAGCCAGCAGAAAACCAACCCAACACAACAAAATTGTCAGCTTTCTCATTAGAAATATCTGAACAGTCTGTTGACTTGCACTCTCTGCACATATGTAGGAGTTCTCATGGTTCACATTTTTTTATGAAGAAACCTGAGGTTCAGTTTCATCCTACTAAAGGAAGGGAACACTTTTAAAATATTTTGACTCAGAAGATAAAAGTTCTCCTCCAAGCCAAACCACACCCCAAACACTTTCTAAAGTTCTGCTCTGTCCACATTAAGCAATAGCAGAAGGAAGAAATACAGCAAGGAAAAGGGACAGTGCTGACAATTGATTTAGCTTCATAGAATTTTTGCTATGTGCTGTATGTTTAAAATATTGCACTGTGTTTGTTTATATCAAAGCTACACCTTCTAAGGTGCCAAGCACCTTTAGAATTGGCTTAAACTAATCACACACAAGCCTACTGAAACCACTGGGTTTCAGTTAAATTTGCAAGTTTAGCCATCAAGTCTCTGAGAAAGCAATAGTAACAACATTTTTCTTCCATAATCAGACAATCTTACAATCAACAAGCTTCTGATTAGAGATTCTGGATATCTCTTGAATGTATGTCAGTAATAACAGACAACTCACTGCTTGCTAATAATTGCTTTATCTACAATGTAGCTTCACACAACCTTTGGGTAAACTTAGGGTTCCTGCAGAGGATTTAAAATGCCTTTCTAGCAGACTTAGCACATCAGTGTTTAAGAAGAAGAAGAAGAAGAAGAAGAAGAAGAAGAAGAAGAAGCAGCTTCAGCTCCAGGACACATAAAAGATTAAATTTATATAAGGAGAACTTCCAAACATTTTGAAACTGTAGTTAAGACTCATAAAAATCCCAATGTGGTAATCCAATACACATATGCTTATTGCTCAAATACCATCTTGAAGCCCAGAGAAGTTGAATTAATTGTTTCATTAATTTATTATAGTCCTTAATTCCTAGCTCCAAATATCTTTTATTTATTGTCTATCACTATAAGAACTCATTTAAATCATTATGATTTATAAAAACGTGGAGAGGGCAATATATAAAGCATCTTTTCTTTACTAAATGAGTTTTTATGATACAATTCTCAACCCTTAAGAAATATTTTAATTAAGTACAGTTCATTACTGTGGGTTTTATCATTTTATCTATTCCAGTAGCACTTCAATAATTCTTTGAATATCAGTGGAATAAGTATTCAATGTTTGTATTACAATAGCTACTAGATGCCTTGATCACATTATTACCACGTTATTATTACCTTGACCATGCAATACACATGGATCCTTGGGGTAAAAATACATAAATCTTATTTACAGGTTTATTGGATTTTTCTTTTTACTATATTGAATAGAATGGATGATAGCAAAAAGCAAGAGAAATACAAAAACTACGTATGCAGCAATATTTCCATCGGATATATAAAAGAAGATAAAATTCTGTGCCCAAATATCAAAGACTTATTTATGTGTGTGTACTTTCATATATATACATATACTGTATATATATATATAACATCTATATATGACTGCAGAAATTACAAATCCAGAAATCCAGTTCCACCAACTGCATTGTGTCTAATCTCACCATATTTCTTTCTATCCCTGCCTTGTTTACATAGAAGTATACACATATTCCTTAATGAGTAGCAATGCTTTGAAGATTGAGCTGTTGAAGCATCTTACATGTCCTTTTTCCAGTAAAATTAATTGTAATTAATAAATACTAATAGATTTTAGTAACTTATACACCTTTTGTTCACAAGGAGGAAACAAACCAGTGGTTACTACTCTGTATATTTCTGAGGAGTTTGTTTACATTATCCCATATATTTAGACTTTTTCCTTTCCCAAAATCTTGGCATCAAAGAAAAAACTAAAAAAAACCCAACCCCGAATCCACTTGACAGCTCCATTTTGTGATGAGGAATCTACTGTTTGATGTTTCTTCCCCATACTTTACACTTAAAATCTTTTATTGATGAATCAAGGCTAATTTAAGATGTTCTTGTGTTTTAGTTTTTTAGTTTTGCTTCTCAAATATGGATAACAATTTGATAACTGTCCTGCTAATGCTATACTTTATGGTCAACTCCTTTGATTTGCCTTATGGAAAAGAAATAGTTTCAAAGCCCAAACCCCCATTGCCTTACAGTTGTTATTTAGAGTTTCCCATTGTCTAAAATAAATTTGCTTTCTGTTGATCACATGATGGTTATATCTCACAAGTATGTCTTGTGTGTTTCCTGTTTTGTGTTCACTTATTAAACCAAAGAAAAGTTCTCAGAAGCTGGTGGTAGATGGAGAAAGACTGAATTGGCAGCTTTATTAAAATTCATTATTTTTTCTGACAAATGCATAGGAAAAGAATTAAACTGGATTAAGCATCAAAACAGAAATGAAGGGCTTCAGAGGAGTCTAACTGCACCAAAAAATGTACCATCTCCATCCAAGGATATTTTGGCCCTTCTCCGTGGTATTGTAAGTTGAAGTTCATCCCCTTCTTCTAATTTTGCAATGCCTGGCAAAAGATTTGGAATATTTTTAAGTTAATATTTCAAATACATTACTTCCATGAATGGTATTCAAAAAGTCATTACACATCATCTTACAAATATAAGCATGACTTGTTACCTGCGATGAGTGCTTTTTTTACCTTTAGGTACAATTACAAACTGTAGCCTACCCAAAGCTGACACTTAACATCCTCTGTGGAGCTGGACCTACTTTCCATCCTGCACACAGAATACCACAGTTCACTTAAGCAAACGTTGCAAAAATTCTTAACAGTGGTGTACCCAGATTTCTCATGTTATAGTGATGTGACAGGAAAGGTCAGCATTGGGTGTTGCTGGTCCTAGACCACTAAGTTCCCACACTTCTCAAAGGGATTCTCATGAGCTTTACCAATCAAATGAAGTTACCAGACATCAGCTGATTCACTGAAGCTGCAGAGCGTAAAGGTCTGCTTCCTGCCAGATGCACGTCAGCTGACATGATAACTGAAAGCATCTTATCTCCAAGTTGCAGCATGAGATTGCAGTGAAATTTTGTTTTTCAGGTGAAAGCAGGACAATGGGAATTTGGGAAGCAGGAACTTTGAAGTGACAGAATGGGGTGGAGATCCCAGTTAAGAAAGGAGGGCAGTAATACAAGCGTGAAGCAAGAGGATAGATGAACTTGAGGTGGTTATGATGCCAAAATGTCTGGGTGCACGGGCAGAAAGTTAAAGAAAATGTTTGGACAGCCTTAATTGCCAGGAGGAAGTAGCCAATTTGGTTTTATTTGGAAAAAAAAAATTAGTTTCCTTCCCCACCCCATTTGTTTAATGCCATTACTTGCCAACAGTCAACTCCATTGTTCAATGTCACTTTTTTATAAGGCATTGAAAAAAAAATAGTTTCTATTTGCATAGATCTTGCTGGAAAATAACAGGAGAGAAAACCCTCAAATCCACCATTAAGGGGGAAAGACAGCCAGGTAAGAGCTACTGAACGAGGTTTAATAAGCCTTGACAATAATTCCTTAAATACTACTGCAGGAATACATTGAGCATTGAGCCTGATGGAATTGCATTAAATATTTTAATTGGCCTTTCTTGTGGTGTTCCTAATTTGTGCAGTCTCCTTACAGGAATTCACTATTTTTCATCTAACCAAAGAGTAAAACTGCAGTAGCCATTATAAGTAGTAGAGAATTAAGCTGATAAGAAATATCTTTGGAAATCCTACAATAATGTATACAAAAACTGTATGGCTAAAATTCACATATGATGTTTTAAAGAAGAACATAGGCTCCTAAATATTTTATTGGGACAACTAAATGTGGAATTCAAACCCTAAGTTAAACTGAGTTCTTCAATAAGGTCAGTATGTAATCCCTTTGCCTGATTCAGACATCTAACTGAAAGCACCAAAGTATCTAACCACATTATATCGTCATGTGGTCATGGAGAGAGGGGAATTCAGATCACCTAAGTTAGATGCATGCCCTCCAACTGCTGATGCTTTATATAAAACCATATTTGTTTTAAGTATTCTGTAATTTGGTAATTAACCAGAGCCATGAATGCAGTCCATTTTCTTTACAACTGCCACAATACGTAGTCACCCAACACTACAGATTCTATTTGATACGGTTTATTTGCAAACAAAGAAAAGGAAAACTTAGATGTTTACCAGCAGTATAGCAAGAATTATTCGGATAAGACTGTGGCATATTTTGGATGCAACGAAACAATGTCACCAAGCTGAGATCATCACCAAACACATGGGCCTTCTTCCTCTGTATTAGGTGTCCCATAGCAAATGTTGTATCAGTGTATAAAACCTATAGAATGAAGAGGTGCAGACTTCAAACATATTGTAAGGAGACATTGAAAATCCTTTAAAAAGTCAGATGCTGAAGTGAATATAGCTTTCTCACCTGCCCATATATGAAAAAATATCCTGTTTCTTTGATCACAATTTTATTTCCTTGTTCTTCCAGTGCTGTTCCACGTTTAAAGCTCAGAAGCCAAGGGACAATGCTTGAGTCATCTAAAAAGAAACAATAATTATCAGGTAATCAGAAACAAAAATTACTTTCTTCATTTTCATCTGCCAAAAATTAACAAAGATGACTTCTAGTCAAGACTGCCAGTCTCACTAGCAGGATTTCCCCACTGAAAAGAGGATATCTTTTTTTTTTTTTTTTTTTTTTTTTAATTTGGTGACATAACTCAGTTACTGCTTTGAAGTTAGATAAAATTGGATGGACAAGTTAATACATGGAATAGTTAGCTGTAAATCATGGAGCTTATTCTTACCTTTCTGTTGGATATCACTTTTGCTGTCAGCGATCAGTTGCAAGCAGGCCTGCAGCACTGCAAAGTGAAAGCATTTTGAAATCAAAGAAATGTAAATCAGTAATAGAATAGAGTAAGCTTTTGAAACTTCTTTTAGAAAAAAATGACATGAAAAAACATCTTCTCTCGGTCTCACCACTTATTTGAAAACATAATCTGTTGATTTTAATGCAGAACTTACTCAAACATGCCCAAACAAAATTCATACCACAACATGTGCTAGATAACTTTCAGAGATCATGCAGCTAAGCAGGAGGCCTCAGATAGTCACACAAGTAACACTTGCTTGTTTTAATCCCTGGTCCTAATATAATTGAAAAATGTAGCAATAAGTCAAATGAGCTAGAAATCACAAGATCAGTTAGCCTTGGTAATTTTCTAAAAAAAAAAAAAACCTCAAAAAACCCCCCAATCTTGCCAGCTGTGACAGATATGAGATTTTCTAATGATGTTTACTATATTATGTAAAAAAATTCCAGTCATACTTGCTGTTAAGTGTTAGTCATATATACTGGTTACATGGTACTTTCAAAATAAATTCTCAAAATCCATATATATGTACATTCAATGTTTTCAGATATCCACACTCAATCAACCTATACTGAGGCTAAGAGGGAAGATACAGAGATGACTGTTAGCAAATTGATGCACACATAACAAATAGCTTAGTATCAGTCAAAACTGACGCATTACTCAAAACTGTAGAGACTAGTGACAGTAATGAGCAACTCGGAGTTTGATCAGAGAAAAATATTGCGGTATGCTAAAATATAGGCTCACAAGTGAAACAAAGATCTTTTAAAAAAATCTGATAAGCATAAATGTCAGGGAACAGCATAAAAGAAAAAAATGGATAGTTGCATTTGTTTAGAGCAGATTTCAATGAAAACATCTGGTTCTAGTGCTACTTTGAAGGCTGGAAAACAAAGTAGTAGCATTTACTGCACTTGGCAGAAACCAAATGAATTTACTAAGAGTCAAGAGATGAAAAATCTGCCATGGGTTGCTGAATCTCCATTTTTGTTTACCTCTTCAGGTAAGAAGGCTGTGAGTCAGATTTGGCCACTCTTGATGTAATGGGAGATGCCCTACTCCATGGGTTCCTGTTTCTACATCAGCCAGTGGTACCCACGTGTGCAACCAAGTGTCCAGCAGCATGAACTTCTAACTGCACCGCAGACAGTGAGAGGATTAAAGTAGAAAGCAGCCTCTCTCTGTATCTAAGTTTCCTTTCCAAGGGGGCCTGCCAGAAAATACCAGAAGAGGGCTGGATGCTCACCAGCACTCAGCGGTGCCATCTGGCAGTGGACAAAGACTGACGTGCACATCTGGGGATGCTCCAACGTCACGATGATCACACAAGCTGTAAGCCCTACTGATGTTAACGGGAATGCTATCCTTCAAGCTCCCGTCTCCTACACTGGAACACGTCCTTGAGTTCTATCAATACTTATCAATAATGTGACAAAATCTATAGATTTTCAAACCAAGAATTTAAAGGCATCTGAATTCCCTGCCTCCTGATAAGGAATAGAAAAACCAAGCCAACACAAATCAAAAAAGCTATTAGACTTCAGTCATTTTTCTATCACACTTGCAAGTGATAGAATTGTCTGGAAAAAAAAAAAAAAGCTTCCAAATAAAATCAAAATGTGACTAGCTGGAGTTGCACAACAAGGCACATCAGGCAATTTATTTCACAAGTTATTAATTCACTCTCCTTTGGAGCAAAGTGCCTTCCTCATGAATGGAATTTTCTGATTCCCTAGTATTTCAGTAAGCTGAACTAAAACTTTCATTCCTGCTTTTAAAAGAACTCTCTAGTGTAGCCACTGGATTTTCCACGAATCAAACAACAGAGGATTGGTTATGATTCACACTAACCACCATCCAGCAGGGTATCAATGAGTAGTGTCCACAAGCAGTGAAAGTTACGGCTACTTTAGCAACTCTTGTTCAACCTGCTCTGCAAACTTGATTGACATTGTTGAAACTATCCTGATTTACAGTTTGCAAGTCTGGATTTACATTTCAGTTGTTTGCAGCACTAAAATACTAGTACATCATTGCTGAAAACTGCTACACAATTAATTAAAATCATGAAGTTCAGTACAGTCTGAGATCTTTTCCATCTTTTTAAAGCACATACCAACTCTGCTTTATTATACAGATACCAAATCTACTCATATCCTCTAAAAAAAACCCTCACTGTCTCTTTTTTTACTTTATGCAGATAGAAATAAGGCTCCACAGAATATAGTAAGCTTGTTTTTCATGGAGAAATACGTTAGAACAGTGTCATCATGACAATAAGGAGAACAGAAACTAGCACAGTGGCCATTTTACCTAAAGCCGCAAAGGGCAAATAATACCTAAAAAAGTCTTTGAGGGATTGAACAACAACATGCTTCAAAAAAATGTTCAGAAGCCAAGACTGACACATAGCTATTTCCAGTATATACAAATACTTCACTTTGAGCTCAATGGAACTACATAGACACTTAAAATTAATTCATTGAAACAAATTCAGAGTAAGCAACACTACTATTGAGGAGAAGATATGAATACACAGAGTATATTTTCTAGGTAAAGCAACAGAGTTTTTCAGTAAAATGCTAACATTGTTAAGAACTGTTAGCAATTCTATTCCAAGAAATACCCAAATCTTACCTGAAGTACAATATCAAGAATATATGCATTACAAAATATGGGTTGAATTGTTACTACCAGCACTGAGCAGAATAAATCAAAATCTCTACCTGAATGCCCTTCAGCCCACTGTAAATCAAACCTGAGCATCAGCTTTGTAGTCTAAAGGATTTTTGAATAATTAATAATGTAAGCAGAATACCAGATTCATAAAATACGTTTTTTAAAAGTGTAAAAACATCTAGCCTGAGGGTCACTATGCTGTCTAGCTGAGTAAAACAGAATGTATCTAGAACAATAGTGTCCCCCATCCTCTTGTGGCTTCATATAATAGCTTTGTTTTGAATAATCTTTTTTTTTTTTTTTTTTTTTTTTCTTCTGATTTTAACCGCTCTGCAGGGTGTGGGTGGGAAGAAACACATTTCAGAGTCTGTCTTCTTCCATAAACAGAAGAGCCAATTCTGAAGAAGTTAGTGACTCCAGATGCCTTTATAAACCACAGCCAGCACATGAAGGGATGTGTTGTCCACCGGTTGAGCAATGTAACCACAATCTTTTTTTTTTTTTAAAAAAAGCTAGCTTTTGCAGCAGGATAGGAACATGGCTTTCTGCATATCTGCATGATTTAAGACCTGATATTGGTAAAATCAAATTTACCATCCCATGCAAGTTTTTGTATTATTTAACTTTCATAATCATTTTAATATTTTGCAATCTAATGTCATAATCTATCCAAACAAAATGTCAAGTTTATTATCTGTAAACTCATGCATAAGATTTAAAGTTTCGATATCCAAGGCCTGAGACATCTATCTCAATTTTTTTCTGAAATAAACCCAAGAAATATCCTAAACTTTAAAAAGCGGACCTGCTTGTTTAGGTTTATTCTTTGGTCTAGATATGCGCTCTGTAGACTTCCCAAAACATACTTAAATACTAGATAATTCAATTTATAAGATATGTATGTTGTTGAACAATTCCCAGTCCTTCTTCCCTTAATTTCTTCATTTCTTATCACAAAAGATCTTCTTCCACTTTTTGCTTGCGCATTTTTATAGACTGTTTAATTTGGTGGTTTTTAATTAAGAAGTCTTTATGTGGCATTAATCATGGGTTAAATCAGTCCCTGCATTAAAATGGCTTGGTCATAGTTACAAATATGACTCATATCTAACAAATACCTAGCATTATTCTGACCTTAACAGAATTACCGGTATCATGTTACAATCAGAATAACCAGACAATAATTTACTAAGAATTAAGAACACTTTATGTAGACTTCTATTATATAGTAAAAAGCAGGATATTGTTTTTAAAAATTAGAGTCCATTTTGTGCATTTTGGATTGAAGTGTTCTGCATAATGCACAGCACTGATTCATTGATCAAGTGGAATCCTTCATGTAAAATTGCAGGTATTGTAAAAGTCTTTCTCTATTCTCTTGCATAGAAGAGCCTACTTCCTTTTGAGTTATTCTGATGTCAGCAGAAACAAAAAAGAATAATGCATCTTTTCAAGAAGTAGATATTTCTTTTTTTATTAAGAGAACTCTTATATTTCCTCTCTTCAAACAATAAAATAAGAAGTATTTTGAATATTTGGTGAGGGGATTTTATATGTGGCATTTGGTTAGACTAGTAACAAAAGGTTAGGTTTCTTGATTCAAAGATCACTGAAGTCAAGTTTCACTTGTAAAAGTCCTTGCTATCCCCTCTCTCACAGAGATCTAAACCAACAACATACAGAGTCAAAATACTTCTAACCAGCAAACGTACCAATTTGCCAAAGTAAATGTAGCAATGTGCTAGTAAGGGATTTATACCAAGAACAATGGCAAAATCCTCACAATTTATACACCACGCTTACATGGCAATAGCTATTTTCTGTGGACACAACTGATATTACAGTACAACCCAGGAACTACTAGTGAAAAGAAAAAAAAAAAAAAAGCAAAGCCAAGTCACACGCCAGGTCAGCTTGCCTTATTGCTTTGTGGAATTACTTAGAATTTCTCCTCAGTTCCTTCCATACATGCAGTCAGACTGATTGAGATGGATAACTTCAATACACCAAAGTAAATATAGTCCATGGATGCTCCAATCCAATCACAGAAGAACGTTGACTGAACTTGAGTTTAGAGAAGACCTGATGCTCTCCTCCCTACTTGGTTGTGGGAATCAGAATCCCACAGTAATGATCAGAACAAGGCACATAGAGAGTATGTAAATGAAACTTGACATTCGTATACTGAACTGGCTTGGGTAATGGAACCTATATCTTGTTCCTGGACTCAAGTGCATATACAGCTTAGAGAGAAACATATAGGCAAGGCAATCAGTAATTTCGAACAAGGTATAAAATTCAGGAGAGGTTTTTGTTGTGTAGTGATTTTCCTCTAAACATAAAACATATAAAACCAAAGAAAAATAAGAAAAAAAATATCTGTTATTATGTGTCCTGATATGGCATTTGCCAGAAGTGATTAGATGATCTCTCTGCTTGCACATTAATAATATGTACCTTTCAAAATCACCCATTAACTCCTACTCGTTGTGTATCAAGAACTCTGGTTCTGACTGCTAACTGTACCACTTTATTTGAAATTGATGCCTGAAATCCATCTCTTCAACCTACTTGAGCTGGAAATTTTCTTGAGACACAAAATGTACAACTACTGATGACTAATAGTTTTATGCATGAACACAGACAAATGCATACCCCATAAAAATATGAAAGAACAACATTGTATTAGATCCATTTTCATTCAACTGTCATTTTAATTAAAATTCTAATTTGTGGCCACTTTTATGCCTATAACATCAAGCAAATATATAAAAAAAAAAAAAAAAAAAAAAAAAAAGAAATTCCATATGTTCAAGAAAGGCTGTGCTGGACCTAAAAAGAATCATGGGGCATCTATTTCTGGAATTTAATAATTAAAATTTAGAAAGAAAAGAGTATTGAACCACAACTTTATTTATAAACAAAGCAATGGTTCTGATTTTACTTCTGCTCCTGATGAAGCACAAGAGAAGCAATGATACATCAGCGATGTTTTCAAGTATTCACTTTCTAAGGAACTGGTCCATGTTAAAGTGAAATTATGGGTCAACAATTAATTAAGAGACCAGACTCTACTTTGAGACCTTTTTGAAGCAAACAGAAATAGGACAAGAACAAGACACCTCACTCAGTACCCTCATTTATCTGCCACTGTACCAGAATGAGCCCACCACATCTGCAGGATGATTTGAAGGCTGCTGGGATTCTGGTACCCAGAAATGGACGCGAGAAGATCAAAGTGCAGGGCTAGTAATTCTGTGTACAAGACCAAGTAACGGACAGGATTCAGCACCATGAACAACACCATGTTGTTTTATTTCACTCGCTCTGCTAAAACAAAATTTAGCATTGACTAGTAGGTTCGTGGCCATCAGTGAAATCTGATCTGAGAAAATGTAGCATCTTACTGAACTCTGTCAAGTTTTATTTCTTGTAATCATATCAGGCAGAAAGGTAACCTGTCTAATAGATAACCTTTTTATATAAATGCAAGATTTGTAATTTATTTTTTTCCTTTTTATATATAAAAATATGATGGTCATGTTGGAAAACAGTTTTGTAATAGGTCAACCTATGTAGCTTTTCTCTTTTAAATTAGTTTGTATTCCATGCTTTCTGTTATCCAAGATAAACAATTTTAAAGCCAGCTGCATCTTAAAAAAAAAAAAAAAAAAAAAAGCAGCTTACAGAAATAAGTAGCTTAATTAGAATTTTATGTGAAGAAAGACAAATAGGTATAATCAGAGGTGGCTCCCTGATGAGAAGAATCTTACATCTGCCAGAAGCACAGCTGAGGACCCCAAAAACTTCCTCTCCCCCATACAACCTCAAATAGCAATAAGAATAAAGATGAAAGCTGCTGCGAAGGGAACTGAATAACTTGCAGAGTAGTGATGCTGTAATATTCATTTAAAAAAGACATGCCTCTCTATTTTTGAAGATACTTGTGCTTTAGGTATGAAAGATCACTACTTTTTATTTGGGAGATGCTAGGGTGGGGAGAGCAGGGAAGCTCTGTGGTTCCTGGGATAGGAAACAGGCTACAAGAAATACAATTTAAGCAATATTGTTCTCAGTCCTGTTTGTGAAATCACTCTTAGCCAAGACCCTGAACCAAAGATTACTGATGAAATAGAAGGAATACGATTTAAACCTATGGATTTTAGGTGATGTCCTAAATGAATACTCCCTTTCGAGAGACCTGGAAGTAAATAGAGTGATTATACTCTAGATCTTAAATTTCATTTAGCTTGCTGAAGCTTAAGTGAAATACATTTCACATTAATTAGTCAATCAAAAGCAAATTTAATTTAGTCTATATCTACAAATTAATCCATTTTAAATTAATCTATTAATAATTTAAGATAACATCTTTCATCTAAAAGCATCAACCAATCCAAAAGTATCAGGCTTTTACAATCTAAAAGTATCCGTTAAGAGGATTGAACTGATTTAACAACTCAAGGACATTTTTAGTTACTCGGTGCAATTAGAGTATGTATGCAAATTGTTATAACAAAATTCTGCATTTCATCCTATCAGGAATCATTGTATTTGGAAAGAGAAAAGGAAAAAAAAGTAAGAATTTTATCCCCAAAGGAAACAAATATATCCCATTAATATTCAAGCATTATAATACACATCAGATGTCTTTTATGGAGCACAGTCTTCAGTGTTCTCTGCAGCACCTTTTAAAAAGTCCATGATAAAAATATCTTACAAGACAGGCATGCCTGTATTCATTTTGCTCCTTATATTAAAAGATGGTTTTAATGCAGAAATGGTGCTAAACTTCTGAATTCCTTGTAGTCTGCCTCTTTTGAGAGGTACAAGCCAGACTTTTTCTTTGAAAGCTCCAACTTCCCTTAAGTTAAGGAGTTTTCTTGTTACTTCTCTCTTTTAGCATGAACGTGTTTTCCCAGAAAAATGACTTGGCATTTTTAATAATATCTTTCCCTCCCTAATATTGATCAGAGAGAAGCAAGTTAGGCATTACCCTTAACTGAGAATGATGGATTTAGAATGGAGTAATTTACAGCCTGAAGAATTTAAAGTTGCCTTACTCTACTGCGTCATTGAAAAATACCTCCGTTACGAGAAGATTTGGGATCTAACATTCAAAGTTCAGTCTGCAGACAGCACAAATATTTGGTACCTTAAACAGTATGGTAATCATTAGGAGAATATACCTACAGTTAACACCATTCATTCAACAATAATTGTAAAAACCTTAATGGGCTCTGGGAGCACGGATCGGCTGGCGGGAGAGAACGAGTCAAGCACTGCTGCTTTTCTCAAGACAGTATCCAACTGCAGCATCCCAACCCACTCCACCAGATGCTATTTACCTGTTTTTTCTGTGTGGACAACAGATCTTCTCCCCCTGCTTCCACTCCCATTCCAGATTTCCTTTTGGAAGCTCTCAGCTGGGCCAGGACCAGGAAGCCTGTTCTCCTGAAGGGCAGAAGTGAGAGTCAGCGAATGCAGCCTCACATTTGCTCATCTCCTGCAAGCCAAAACCCACCCTTCCAGCTTACCTGCCCGGTGACAACTGCAGATACTTGCAGGAAGGAAGAAACAGGGGTACCTGCTTTGTTTTCATCACGGTACATGGGTGGCCGGTCTAGCAAAGACCTTGCCTGGACCCTGTAGATCAGCTCGCTGCGCAGAGCTTCTAGTTCTGTTTTCAGGGCGAGAACATGGTAAAGAGAGACTGCTGCAAGACAAGAGGACAGGAGCATTGCAAGCCACAGGAATGTGACAGAAAAAAGTCCCGTGGTGCCTGAAGCAGCACCAGGGGGGGCAGAGGGAGAGGAGGCGGTATCCTTCTGTTGGATGACGTGCACACAGTCCACGGATTTCATCGCTGCTCTTTCCTCACTAAAGCCAAAGGGAGAGTTCAGCTGTCCCCTTCCGAGGTGCAATCCATGTTACCAGTTGCTCTCTGAAACTAAGGGCATCCAGAATAAGTGAACAAAACGCCCAGATCATTTCCTGTCATATGAAGCCGTTGATAGAACCATTAAACTTAATGTACAGAGTGAACGTCTAAGATTCAACCTCCTTTTAGTTTTCTTCTTTCTGTACTGCATTTTGGAAATTAATACTTTCTCATGAGCTGCTTGCTCAATCTACCTTCCTCCTTTCACTTTCAACTTTTTATTTATGTGGCAGCTTGCTATTACAGTTTCCCATTTTCTTTAAATTTAGGCACAGCCGGTACCACTGGTAATTTAAAGCCTTATCTAGAAGTGCAGAAACAATGTAAAGTTTCCTGGCAGCATATCATCCAGTGCTACTTAAAAGACATACACATCTGACAATGCATGTGTCTGTGTGTGTGTAGGTATATAGATGTACTGTTTGTATAAAATATATGTATTTATATATGTAATTTAATATCTAAAGTGCCTATACACCTACAAAGGGCATGACCTATTTAAACAGAAGTTTTTGTGGTTTTCTAAACACAAAAGTGAAAAATATTCCCAGGTATGAATAACAAATTACTGGTCTCTCAACTGTATGAAGTTGCAGATTCTGCAGTTGAGTTCATCATACTACTTTGAAAAGGGATAACATTTTATTAAACTTATCTAATAAATATAGTTCCCTTACAGAATTCACAAAGAAGTGGGGAAAGGAAACTTTGGGCAGGGGAGGAATGGGAAAGGATGAAAACTACAAGATGAGAAAGATTAAGGGAAAATTATAATAGGGGGGTAAAGGGTCAGAGGGGTATAGAAGGAAAATAATATTTAGAGACTCATTAACTC